AATAAGTTCAATAAAGTGGAAGGGTATTAAAATCTATCTAAAAGGAAAATTAAGAAACAGTTTCATTTACAATAGCATCAAAAATAAAATACTTATGAAAAACTTATTCAATTAAGTGAAAGAATTTATACACTGAAAACTTTGGCGTTTATAAAATAAATTATAGAAGACATAAGTAAATGGAAAATATATAAAGATTAAAAGATGGATTAAAAGAACCATATCATTAAAATACCTTACTTGAAAAGCATGTAGTTCAATAGTTTATATCAAAATTACATGTTTTTATTGAAATAGAAAGAAATCTCAAAATTCATAAGGAACCACAAAGCTTTCTAACAGCCAAAACAATTTTGCAAAAGAACAAAGACAGTACCTTACACTTTCTTGTTTCCAAACATATTACAAAACTATAGAAATCAAACCAGAATAGAACTGATATAAACAAAGACCAATCAAACAAAATCGAAGACCAAGAAATAAGCTGATATGTGTGTGGTCAAAGAACCTGTAACAAAGTGCTAAACTACACAGATGGTTCTGGGGTAGCTAGATAGTCATAAGCAAACTAATGAAATTAGATTATTCTCTTACATCTTTGATAGAAGTCAAGTGGAAGTGTATTGAACATTTAAATTGCAAGACAAAACTACGACACTTCTAGAAGAAATCATAGGAAAAGTTTCATAATACTGGTCTTGCTGTAATTCCTTATATATGACATCACAATCTAGACAAGAAAAGCGAAAATAGATGATGGGGTTATACTAAACTAAAAAGATTCAACACAGCAAGGGAAACGATCAAAATGAAATGACATCCTAGAGATGGGAAAACATGTTGCATCCTATCTCTGACAGTTATTATTCAAAATATATAATATCAGCAACAAAATAATGAAAAATCAAATAACTTGATTATAAAATTGCAAATGACTTATATACACATTTCTCTAGAAAGCATACACATTATCAGTGAGTGGATAAAAAAATTCAACATCAATAATCATTGAGAAAATGCAAAACCCCAGTATCATCTTTTACCTTTAAGAATGGCCATACAAACCCTCCCTGGTGGTGCAGCGGGTTAAAGCAAAGCACTAAGAAGCTAAAACCACTTTAGCATGAGTTCGATCCCTACGTGCCCTGGGGGTGATCACATGGCGAGGCAGACCTCTCCTGACCCGCCTGCTGCTCCCCTCAGCAGTGTACTTTGACAGTCGGCCTTTTCTTCTCCCCATTTTGTCTCTGGTGAATCCTCTCACCACCCCTGCACCTCTCTCTAGCCTGTACTCCAGTTCTGTATGCATAAATAAATCTTTAAAAAAAGAATACACTCACACACACACACACAAATGTTGGCAAGGACATGGAGAAATTGGAACCTAACACAGTATTATTGAGATTATAAACTTGTGTAGCTACTACATTAAACATTATGAAGATCTTCAAAAATTAAAAATCAAAAAATTTCACATGATCCAGGAATCTGACTTCTGGTTATATAGCCAAAAGGATTGATTACAATCAGGGGATCAGAGATAATGGAGTCCCTCATCTTTATTCCAATATTAGTCATAAAAGCTTTGCCATGGAAACAAGCTAAATGTTCATAAAAGATGAATAAATGAATGGAACACTGTCTATACAAAAAATGAATGAATAAATAAATAAAGCAAGATAAAATTATCTTGAGCATATTTATAGTTTTGAAAATAAAATTTCATGCAGATAATAATATAACCCCTATTTTCTAGTTCAGTGGTTCTTGATTTGTAGGCCTCTTGTGGGTTTCAGGGTTCTAGATAGAAACTTTTTTTTTACTCTGTTAGCATTTGTATTATGGCGTAAAGGTGGTAACACTCTTGGCTCTTTAGCGCCTTATTAAGTTGTGATGTTTAGCACATGTCCTTTTCATCTGTGTGATAAAACAGGAAGTATACATAAAGAAGTCTGCTGCATAGTAAGGTATGACCATTCTTTTCTGGAAAACAATTGTAGTTGCTGTTTTCAAAAACACCATTTTTACTTGAAAGAAATAACTGACCGACAAATTAGCTATTTAGGAAAATAAACAGAATGAACCTGTCACTTCAAATAAAACATCTCAGAATATTTGTTGCCAATGATAAAGTTCAAATGCACAAGTGAAAATTTAAATTTTGCAAAACTTGTAGCCATTTCCATGAACTTAAACAGCTTTTCATTAATTTAAAGCTTTCTGTAGTTGCATTGGTGGTGATAATAACAAATATGATTTCTGCATGAGTAAAATGTGTTGGCAATTGGAAGATCTAAGTAACTCAGCAAACCTGTGTTTTCAGATGACCAATACATTATGTTATCAAATTGTGCATGTATAAAACATTGACTCAAAATACAAGATGGACAAGTGAATTTTATGTACTGGAGTATATAGACATCTGGAGTATATAGACATCTGGAGTATATAGACATCAGGAGTATATAGACATCAGTGATAAGTTTTCAGATTCCACATTGTAACTAACTAACCTTTAAGAAACAATGACGTGTTCAATTTTGGTGTAGTATCAAAGGATGACCACAATTATCTAAAAAGATAGTTAGGAGATATGCATATGTGTAAAACAAGACCATTTTTTTTCCCTGAGGATTTTTGTGTGTTTATTTGGAAAGTAGAATTACTTTTCCTAAAAAATATGTCATTTGTTAGTATATAACAGGTTTAATATTTTTAAATAAAATACTATGAAATATTTTCTAAAATGTTAATTCTAGTATGATAGCGATAAATATGACCCACATATTTTTGGGTACTATTATCTTTCCTTTTTTTTAATTCAAAGAATTATTTATTTGTGTTTACAAAAGTAGAGTTGTAGGCCAGAGGTCGGGAGGGGGTGAGTGGTGATGAGAAGATTCAACAGAGGCACAGTGGGGAGCAGAACAGGTGGATTGACTGAAATACACTGCTGAAGGGCACAACGGGTGAGCCAGAAGATTGTTGCACCATGTGGGTTAGCTCCCTGGCCAAGGATTGAAGTTGTGCTGCAGTGCCTGCTGATAGCTTCATGGTGCAAATACTTTACCCTTTGAACCACTAGGAAGTATTTTTTTTTTAATGTAAGTATTTTTTTAAAGGTGTAAAAGGACCTGTCTAAAACCTTTGAAAATGGACTAGAAACTGCAAAGTTGAGAGAGAGATGATTTAATGAATTTGCAGTGAAATTTAACAGCTTTACTGTGTAGGATATAATAAACCATTAAGAGAGACATTATTTATAGAGAGGGCTATAAACTAGTTTTTCTTTACTCTCATAATTCTCTTTATTTTTTAACTTTATTACATATATACATTACTTAAATTTGCAGGGTGAAGTACTGTCTCTACAGGAAATAAGGATTAGAGTGGTACGGATGCTTGGTTGTCTAGGAGGACAAATAAACAAAAATCTTCTAACAGGTAAATTTGTCTTTTTCTTTTTTAAAAAAACACTTTTTAAATGGACGAATATATTAGGAAAAGGAGAAAAAGAGAGGCATTGCATATAGTAGGTAAGCAGGTGAGCTGCCTAATAGGTAAATTTTTCTTTAAAATAATCTTTGTGGATAGATTTATACAGTAATTTGCATGTATACAGATCACAGTATTTTTGGATATTGCTCCTATGTTTGCTTAATTATTTTCAAATAGGGTTACAAATACAATACAAAGACTAATAGTTTGACTAATGAAATGCTTTGATTATATATGTTGTCTAAGTAATCAGCATGCTAGCAGGGGATATGATCTAGCTGGATTTGTTAAACATGCTTTCTATTTCTAATTAGAATCTACTTTGACTCTCTTTTCTATATTAATCATTATGTCAGGAATTCAAAGTTGATCCTTTTTTAAAACCTAAGTGTCTCAATATTTGGATAATTCAGATATTTATAAGGAGTATTTATGTTGTTTATTTGCAAAAATTAA